GGAAGGGTTCACTGTGGAAAGGGAGAGGCTGTGATGGAACTGAGCTTTGCTGTGACTCTGTGGGCTGTAGGAATGGACAGAAGTTGCCGAGGCAGCAGATGGAGGTGAATAGGCAGATTATCCTTGCTGGGAGAGCAATCCTCTATATAAGCTGCTGCTTGCCTGCTTCTCCTCCCACATTGACTATCCCCTTTCCACCTCCCCTCTCCGTATGCACTGTAGCCTCCAGGTCTGCCAGGCCAGGTTTCATAGGCTCTGGAGGCCTTGTGTGGGAGGAATAGTTTGCCAGCAGATTTCCGTCCAGTGCCCTGCCACACTCTCTACCCTAAGCACGGGTGGGTGATGCACCACTCCAGGTCCTGGGGGATTCCAGGTGGGCTCCAAGACAAAAGGCCAGTCCCTGCAAGCCAAAAGCTCCCAGCACGGTGAGCTGAAATCTCCCTCTACCACTTCATTTAAATTCACACTATTTGCCTGGCTGGAAAAATAAAGTTTCTCTTTTAACTTTAATTTCACCCCCCCCCCCCCCCACACACACACAGAGCCAAGGTGCTGCTGTTTGTAAAACTCCACGTGTCACAAACCCTGCACGGAGACATTGAGCCTCCCTATGTGAAAGGCACACATCAGCATTTCATCTGAGTATGCTCGCAAGAATGCCACAGAGCGATTATGCACCCCATTCCCTCTGCTGATTAACATATTTTATTTAAAAGTAGCAGAAGCTTGCAAAGGAAGCAAAACCGCAGCAGAATACTCTATGTAGCCCAGCAGAGCCTGACTCAGGCTAATGCTGTAATGCACCACAAACCACGACAAGCAACTCGGAAGTCCTGGGCCAAGTACGTATCCAAAACATGATGTCCTTTTTTTCGGGGCTGATGCAGAAGTCAAGTGAACCGGGCCAGGCAGGATACATCCTAAAGTGCTCAAGAAATTGGCTGAGGTAACTGCAGAGCATTGGCTTTTCTCTTTGAGATGTTGGGGATGTCCAGCAGACAGCAACAAAAATGGGGGCTGGGAAATGTGAGGAAAGGTTTGAAGAAGTGGGGTTACTTAACCTGAAGAAGATAGGGTTGAGTAGGAGGTGTGGGATTTGAGAACTGTCCTCAAATACCCAAGTAGTGCTAATAAAGAGGATAATAATAGGTTATTCTCTGTGCCTGCGGAGGACAGGGCAAGAAGTAAATGTCTTAAATTGCCACAGGAGAAATTTAGGTTGTTTTAGGAAGAACTTTCTTGCTAGGAAGGGGGTTAAGTGTTTGTATTTGGTTGTAGAACATCCATCTTTGGAAGTTTTGAAGACCAGATTAGACAAACGTGTGCCTGGGATGGTTTAAACAGGGCTGATTTTTTTGCCTTGACCTCCTGAGAGCCTTCTTGATGTGATCTCCCGAGCAAGGGCCCTGACAACTAGACTCTTCCTTGATTTGAAAAGGTCTCTGTGGTCACGGCCAGGGGCATGTTGTGATTTAAGCGGCGGTGTCTCGCAGAACATTCAGAATAGAGCAGACGGATGATTTCTCTTGGCTTCAGAGATTCAGAACGTGGCTGACCCTTTCCCTCCCCGTTCTCGGTGAGGCTCCCTTGCTTTTCCGTGTCCTGCACAACAGACTTCCTAGTGAAAAGTTTTGCTGCCTCAACACTTCCACTTGGGGATGGCCACCTACTCTTCAGTCCTTCCAAGCCAAACTCCCCTGCCATCCTGCAGCTGCTCAGACGGTAGTTAAAACAATTATTTAACTGAACACATTGAATGTATAAAAGGGTTCA